GCGTATCAAGTCGTTGGCTGCCAACTTGATCGCCTTCTCGGGCGTCACTCCCACAAGATTAGGACCCAGCCCTGCATTAGTGGCGGTGGGGAGGGTGAGAAGGAGAACGGAGACACGAGCGCTCAGGACGCTCCCGTGAGAGGGTGAAGACGACGGAGAGAAGCACGTAGACACCCAAACGCACCCCTGTAGAAGCCGGCGACGCCCTCGTTCTTGAGGATAGAGGAGGCTGCGGAAATGGGCCCCGTGTACTGGGCGTTCCCACTCTGCAGTCGAGTCTTCACCATGTCTGTAATCAGTGGATGCGCGCGCAGTGTTGGGATGCAGATGAGCGGGGTTAATGGCGCGAGTTGTCGGAAGTGATCCCATACACCAGATAGCACCCATGCCTTCCCTCCATCCGCACGATTGGCCTTGACCTGACTCGGCATGTGGACTCAAGCAATGTCAAAATATCCGCAAAACACTCGATACGCATGCAAAGCCAATTACAGTGACCCTTACAGCTCTGCGATGGACAAGGACGTACCGATGGGAAATATGCAGGTGGTCCCGACTACACCAGCCACTGCGCCCACCACCAGCTTTGCCGCCAGAGGGACCTGAACACGTCCAACAGGAGAGTGGGACAGATTGGAGTGAATGTGGGCACATCGGGCGACAGCATCAAGGGATCTCACAAATACCCCGCCGAGTGTCCGGGGAAACTAACCTTAGGCGCCTTTTTCACTTCGAGGGCAACATCTTCAGTGCTTGCGGGAGGAGCTGCGACGACCGCTGACATGGTGTTTGCTAAAGACTGTGACGCTATACGGCAAAAGTGGAAAAGGATTTTAAATCGTGATCGAAGGCAAAGTGAGATGGAAATTGAGTGACGTTCTGGTTGTCCAACCACCAAAAGATCGAGCGGAGTGGTTAGAAGTGAAGGATATGTAAATAGGATAACCGTCCAAAAGCCCGGGGGGACCTCCCCATCGGTACGAAAAGTGGCCAGACTGGAATCCCTGTGCTGGCACGCATCGGTCGCTGGGTCTCGTTGCCACGTCAAAACAATCCACCCGACCGTCGATTTGTTCCACTGATACCCGCGCCGGCGAGAACAGCGGCGCCAAGGGCCTCCACTGGGATGGATGGCTCGGTGGGCGGTTGCCTCGCGCTTGAATGATGACGGGGTTGGACATGGTCCCCGTCGCCCTGAGCTTGGATGGTCAGGCGCACGCAAAGCCGTTAAAAATGCCTCCCGTACGTCCATGGGACGCATGACGGTAGAATGTACTGATGTTGAGAGGGTGGAAACGAGAAAGCAAAGCAGGATGGCTCGCCTCCGGGTTGGGCGGTGCTTCACTCACTTGATCCCGCCAGAGCCAAGCACTGAAGCCCACAAGGCGAGGGGGAGCCCGTCGCCGTATGCCTCCTGAAACCTTTCTCTTCCCTCAGATACCCTTTTTAGACTTGGGTTATTTCTTTCGTGAGGGCGAGTGGGTTTCTTTTGGTAAGCATGCCACCATTCTACGCTTTGGATAAAACAGTGTTGGAAAGTAAGCTCATGTCGTGGGCTTGAGAATATCACAGATGATAGCCTTATTTCAAGCTCGCCCTAGCAAGCCCCGTAAGGTGCAGTCCGACCTATATTTGGCTTTCTCTTGGTCGCGGCATGTCCTCAACGAGGCTTGGCCGCTTATCTTGCGTTTATCTTTCTGATACCTGGGAGGATGGTGCCTCTAACAAGTTAGATCATGGAGGACGGGATGCGACTTGCCACAAGATTTGCGGCAACTGGCTTGCCTACGCCTTTGCGCACGTGGATGGAGTGGGTCGGGTCGCGGACCCGGGTGAAAGGGAAGGCAACATCGGAAGCGGACGTGATTCACAGAAAAGGATGTCTTTGTCTGGCTTGCTGGAATCTTTGTACTCTATTCCGTCTGTGGTGAATAATTTTGGGGCAGGCTGGCTAGCGGGTACAACCACACTGCCGCCGTTCTCCCTTTAAAGCCCTGGATGCATCTTGAGGGCGATCCCATCGATGTCAAAGCTCTAAGATCATTAAATCATATGCCAAAGCACACTCACACATCCTATTGATATCCTTTGACAGACAGGAGCCACTTTTCTGAGATCAGTCATGTCTGCAAGGACGGTAAGTTTTTCTCCTCCGGGCATCCTGATGTTTCGTGGCTCAAGCAGCCTTCAAACGCGTCAAATCCTGCAAACTACCCTTTTCCCTCTCAACCTTTCTTCTTGCGTGTCATTGCATATATCTACTGTCAATGATGGTGGTAGATCAGCCTCAGTGGGTCGTTTCTTCCTGGTAGTAATAAGCAATAAGGCCTGCTGTATGCCCATGATCCATCTTGCCTGCAACTCATCCCCCTTTCTTTTTACGATTGCACCCTCAGGCTTTCTGCCTAGCCATCGTGGCCCTTCCGTCCGCTTCTGCATTTTTGTTCCCCTCCTCTTCCCCTTTGTCCTCTCTGACGACGGGCCCCCCCACCTTGTCGGGAAAATCTGCCTGTGGATTTCGCGTGGCCCCTGAGACAAGACGAGGAGCCACCGTCGCTGCG